CCAACATATCACCAAACACAAGCTAGCATCATCAAAATAGACATTTTCTATCAAGATGTCGGTCAAATACCCAGTTCCTGTTCATTTTGTACGTAGAAAGTCCAATTTATGCTATAATACGGTCGCGTATAGTCAGTTATACGGTCAACTTTAGAATCAACGACCTTCACAATCTCTTTTTTCCAAGGAGGCTAGCTCACACGTATTATACTTCTAGTCAAATCATTACCTTCCCATTACACAATCAGTGCTAGTTTTAACTAAGGATTTTCTACTACCCCTTATTTATGCGTCTGAGCGACTGTATCAAAGCCCGAGATGTTGAGCCGAACCAGGCCAAGACGCTATGTGATTTTATAGAGAACAAGGTGATATCCACAAAGAGTGCTTGGGTTTCAGTATCCTTAAGGTGAAACACGACCAGGATATATGATTTCATATCACCCGTTCTTAGCTGCTAACTGACTTCAGCTTGGGAACTTTACTCAAGGGCACAAACTGCTCTCTAAGCTCGATTACGATTCACAATCAATGAACACAGATTCCGCCAGGTATGATGTCAGATGATGCCTCAGTTATTCTTGGAGCTAATTGAGTACCACTCTGAAAGCATTCCTTGCTCGCTGCCTCAGAATTGGGAGAGACTCATTCACGGATGCCTCACAATGTTAATCCAAACTTTCGAGGAGTTTCAGTTAGCTTTGAAAGTTCATTTTCTTTGAAAAGAGAGTATCGCCTTGGCTTACTCTTGCATCTTCAGCTCCTAAAAATCTCCTCAAAATCTTACACAGACAGTCTTCAAATCTGCTACCCCCTGTAGCATGCCCAGCAGTATCTCCGTATGTCACATCAGCCGGTGTGCTTCAGACTCCAGCTCTGAATCCCAAAGAATAATCATACAACCCACTTCTTGATGAGAGTAACTTGAGCCGATATTATTCACCATGGTCAGAGTTTTCACAGGCAATGTAGCCGTCCGGAACCCTAACCCTGGCGTTATCACAAGCTTTGCATGTCTCAGTCGCGTTCTCTCTCTGGAAGTTTATGTTGAAGGGCTGAGGAACCTTCCCTCCCCTGCATAATCCGTTTCCGCAGCGACCCTCGAGGGCTTGACCGAAACACCACTCACAAGGTCCGGCGCAGTCGTAACATGCTTTCATCGTATGATCTGGCACCTTGGAAGGAGGGCCCCTGAGCATGCGATTGCACACGGGGCACTTGCCAGACTTAGCCATATCGAGATGGAGAGGTGGACTTTTCGGGGTCGAGTATGGTTTTTGAAGTTGAAAGTAAACTGATCGAGAGATTTCTGAGTTTGTAGGTTAAGTTGCGTGAGCTTTGGGGATTGAAGTTTTAGCGAAATGAAGAGGAAGCATATATAGTCGGACAAAATATTGATTGTGCAACTACCCATTTATAGATTCCGTGTTGCCTCCCATTCACTGCGATTGATACAGTGAGTCTTTGATGTTGCAGTCTAGTCAGTGAATCAGCTAGCATTGTTTCAATCACATGTTTGTTCTTACTAAACCGGATGTCAAAGACTATGTGTTTACAGTTGACAAGCCCGTAAGCCTATGGAAGTGCACTATCGAGTCTAAAACGAGTTCTGAAAATGGCTATTAAACGATATGATCACAACGAGCAGTTTACCTGCATCCTCTTAACTTGCTTAGACTTGTTTCTTAGGGAAGCATCATGTTAATGTGGTGGTCACACTCGGGTTCTGATTTCAAGATGAATCACCGCAACTCTGTCCCTTTGTTTATGTTATGTAACAGTTGAGGGGCGACATCTGGATCATGAATACACAACTGAACTCCCATGTAAGAAGGACAGTAACTTGCACTAAGTTGTATATTCCGCCTATTGTCCAAGCATCAATCAGTGATACCAATGATTATCATAGCTTGCATGTTGTAAAACCTCTGTCGCCTTAATCAAAGTCTCATTTGTATGTTTCGCAGAACATTCATTGAACTACAATCAACCTCAACTAATCTTCTCATAAGTTACACTAGAATCAGGAACATCCAGCCAGACTCACCTATCTATGAGCTCTATACCAAAGTAGAAGCCTCGGTGGGATACTCCACGGAAAGACTGCAATCAGTGTAGGGCTTTCGTTTCAAATTCACAGTTCATCCCTTACGAAATCTATTATTGCTCTCTTGTCAATTTCCGTTCCCTGGGCGCTTAATAGTAGTCATTTTATCTCTTCCCAGCTTCATGGATGGCAAATACAGCTATCGCAGGCGACAAAAGGTGGCTCGTTGGCTGTTGGATCATGTGAATTGGGCGGCTCGTTGATTGGAAACGTCAACACTCTGTATAGGATTACGCAACGCTGTCATTATCACGCCAAGGTACATTTGGCGCAGGTAGACGATACTCCTCGGCTGCTACTTGCCTCAAGACTGTTATGCTCGCCGAGAAGAAGGTCGCCAACATCGAAGCACAGGTACATGAGATCAGTCTCATATGACTCCGCCAAAGCAATCACCACCAGGCGAGGCGAGGGGCTCTCCAATTCAAACGGGGCAGGTTTTCAGTGCCGCCGATGCAAAGACCGATCGAAGCGTGACTTGCGTCGAGCACAGATTGAGCCTCTTCGTCCGGCCGTCACGTAATACCAGGAGCAGCGTGTGCGGGATGCCTTTGACACGCGACAAAATCACCTGGCGATGCGCAGCTAGGCAGCGCGAATCTCAATCGATCCCTTCCATCGCGCGCGAAGACTGCTTGAACGACTAATTCGTTGCTCGCCGGGCTTCCAGTGCTCTCGCGGGTTGCAATGAAAATCTGGCGACCTTGCGGCAAGTGGAAAGCCCAACCCAAGCCTCTCGACGATTGATAATGCGGCGAGGCCTCATGAACCCTCGGCGCGACTCGATCTCCGTCAGCCAGAATTGGCGTTTAAGCCAGCAGACTTGAAGCGCGGCGGCTGGTCTGTTTGGTGGATTGAACAAGGTAAAGAGTAGCCCTCGGGCGCGGTCATTTACATCTGATAGGGTGGCGTGTACGAAGATACGAGCACGTAAAAGAGTTTAAAATGAGAGCAGGGCAGATACTTAGACGTTTAACAAAAAATTCACGTAGTCTGATCCACAAGCAATGCCTTCTGGCATAATGTTGACCAAGTCGCGCTCACCAACGGGATAGAAGTGGCCGCGTGGCTGAAGATCCAACAGTTTGAGATGGCCTCGATATTAATTCAAGAGGAATAGAGACGTCTGCAGTCAATTAAGTCTCGGACCACGAAAGAAAAAATGAAACCTCGGAGCTGCAGTGTAAATAATAATTGTGCAGAATTAAATGGAAATTGACACCCTCGCTCCTCGCTCCGCCCGGTTCTTCTCCCTCGTCGCCCTGCATTTGGCCGTGAAAGCTGTAAATGCTCACAGTATCCCGACGTCTAGGTCGGCGAAGAGAGCAGGCTTCGCACACGGGCAGGGAGCTGGATTCAATTGATCTCGGGCGCCACGAGAAGACTGAAGCGTCATCTTGGAAGAACTGCGCAGAGTGGCTGGGGCCCAACTGTCTGTGCTGTATACAGTGAAGACTCAGAGTCAGTAGGTGGGAAAATCATTTGGAAAAATGAACGAGACTGTGGTCAATTTTGCCTCTGCGTTCTTGGCCGTGGAATAACGATTTGCGGTTCGAATCAGCCGAATCGGAGGCTTGGGCAGAGAAGGGTCCTGGACGGGCATCGATTGCCTCTGCTCTATCTAGCTCCATTGACCAATCTTCAGGCAAACAAGGAAGATTGAACCCAGCGACGTTTTAGTGCTCTCGAGCTTTGTTCGGCGCGCTGCTTCGAGTCTGAGGCTGCAGGAGGACAGTGAGACAGGCCCTTTGGACTCATCATACTACACCATGACACAAAGAGAACCTCTCCATATCACATGGCTCGGGCCATTGATACCTTGTTGTCCAGCTTTTCATCCTACCAGCGTCGCATCTCGTCAACTGTCGTCGGAAATGCAGCATTGGGCCGGCAACGCATCTGTTCAAGGGAGGGGGGGCCAAGAAGAAGGGACGGGAAGTTTCAACAAATCTTACCTTGGTATGGCACACCAGTATGTACTCTGCCAACATCGTGTGCAGCCATTGGCATGTGTCTAGACTCATTACTAGATCGCCCCAAACCAACGGTGCGGAGAAAGCATTTGGCTCAGCACATGCCCTGAGCATACTCTCTAGTCCTTTCATTCTGCGACCGGGAGAATGTAACACCCAGTGCTGATTTGACGGGATGGTGATCCTTGGAGATCGGTGCTCAGAATGACCGAGAGGTTTCGCGCGTGTAGGTGAGAGAAGGCATGTCCCCAAGCTCCCAATCCAGCCGAAGCCGCCGCCAATCTCATCTCAGGCGGAGGAGAATGAGTGAGAGTTGATGTCGCAAGCGGCGCCCTGGTAGTACGCTCGTTGATGGCATCGTGAGGGTAGGTGTACACCCCCGATCTCGACAGTGTGCAGCGCGCCGCCGCCGTCGGATTCTTGATGCGATCTGACACAACGAAGAATCCAAGCTCTGCGACCCTTTCGCTAGCCATTGCCGGTGCATCAGCCTTCCATGACTAGATAGAAACAGGCGTGGCAGTCTGGCTACGGGCCAGGTCGCTAAATCACAGCCCTCGGATGAAGGCCTGCCCAAAGTTGGAGCCGTCTCAGAAAGTTGATCTGCGAAAGCCGAGGCTGAAGTCTAGGTAAATCAAGAGGCTGTAGCAGACACAAGGAACAATGCGGGACGAAAAATGTCATTTCAAATTTGCATCAAATCAAGAATTCACTTCAACGACAAAACTTTTCTCCTCTCCTCCCCTCCCCTCTTCTCCCCTCCCCGCCCCTTCCTCCTCCTCTATCATTCTCATCTCTTCCAATCTACTCCACAAAAGAAAACCACGGTAAAAATAGCTCTTAGCGACAGAACCATTTGAAAAGGAACAAACGGGAAGGAAATCCATCTTTAGATAGTGTCAAGGCATATGACCAAAGCTTCATTCATGGTCCTCGACTTCATCGCCTGGCGCTTCTCCTTGGGGCTCTGCGTTTGGCTGGCTCAGTTGCCAGTACGCATATGCAGCCCCAACCGCAACAGCATTCCAGCTACACCAGTTAGACACCGCTAACGCCGGGACTGGCACGATTGTTTGGACTCACCGGGATTCAGCGCCTGGCGGATTTACACGAAGGCTTCGTGCCGGCGACTCTTTCAGTTGGTCCGCCAGTGCCACGTAGAGCCATGCGCAATGGGAAAAGCCCCCAGTCAATATCACCGTCTTGATCAGCCAGTTCAGTTAGCATATGGTGAGCAAATGGGGGGCAAGCTGGATGGAGGGACCTTACTGTCGGAGCATCGCCAGTCTGCTTGACCTCCTCCTCGAACAAGTCATTGACAACCTTGGCGATGATCTCTACAGTATCCTTGAAGAACCCCTTGAACTCTTCTCTAAAAGCAGGTAGAAAGTCGTCAGCATGTATTCCATCAGCTGGGATCAAGGTTGAAGGATTATACCGGCCAATTGTCAATGTTTTCTCAAGGAGTTTCACCTCAAGTGGCGAACCTGGGATGTGAGGGAGATAGGACATCTTCTGCATGAATTCCCACGTTACCAACACCTTCATTCTCTCGCGGTAGAGTTCTTGGTTCTGCTCTTCTCTCACGGGGAAATTCTTTTTGATCCATTCGTCCAGCAAGTCCCAAAACTGGCAATCGACGAGGAAGGAGCCTCCTAAGCGGGACTTGGAAGGTGAGTTTCCTGGTGCGTTCCGACATACCACTGCATCCTGGAGTTGTCATTATCTCTGTGTAGTCAATTTAGGAACAGAGGAAGAATAATCTTACAATTGTCACCCCTCCAACATCAACGACGATAAATTTGTGCAGTTTCTGTTGTTTGTTAGAACGGTCTAGTAATGCTTCCTAAAATCAAGCAGGTACTAACGCTTCGTGGAGCAATGTACCACAGTCCCTCTTGCTTTCTGATCCCCCTCAACGCAGCCATATGCTCGCGATCAAATACAATGCGAGTCTCACGAGTCCGGTCGCCAATACTCTGCTGGCTGCCGATACCAGACAATTGGACGGCTCTTTGGAAACGGGCGTTGGTCTCAGTATTCCAGCAAGCTGGCGAGGCAAGCACTACGACGACACCGACTTCCGCTGCGTTGCGCCCTGTGATCCATCGTTCCAGCCTCTTGATTGTATACTCAAACAAGCCTCTCATGTAAATGGCAACTGGCGTTACGTCATCGGCAGTTGAGACTCGGCTTCTCCATCTTGCATTGAGCGTCGTTGCCACGGCTGCATCTTCGCGGTTTGAGGTCCAGGGTTCATTTGACATCAAGTTCAGCTTGAAGAGTTGAAGTGAGGTTTCTCCCGCTCCACAATCCTCACCTGCAGGCAAAAAGCGCATTACACCTTGTTTTGAGACGCTTAGGCGTGTCTGGAACTTGTCCACCTCGGCTGAGCTGATTTCAGCAAAATATTGATGCTCCTTGCAGTGCCAGGCGAGGACACATGCGGCTCCAGAGTATCTACAGAATAAATTGTCAGCAACATCTGATAGAAAGGAAACCTTTGGAGAGTACTCGCGTGGTGCCGAAGTCAAGGCCCACGAACAGGAACCTCTGCGCGCATTCGCAGGCAGTCGAGGTCATGATGAACTCAAAGTGCTCTGACAGGGGAACAATTGGACAGAGACACTGAATGGACTGTCACACAAAATAAACAGCAACTTTGTATGGAGTGAAAGAATGGCAGCAAGAAAGGAATTCGGTTCGGGGAAGCGATTGATTTGTGGTTGTCTATTTACTTCAACAATCCGGTTTGTCAGAAGAATAATATACCGAGTTCTCTCAACGTTCAAGAGGCAGACAGACCCTCTTTACTTTGGGGGGGAAAGGCGGAATGCTTTTCATGGCGGCTACACTAAGTTCTGTATCACATTCGGTGGCCGCATGCAAGGCAGCTTCTCGTCCGCGGCTGCCAGCTTTGGAGTACCACCCACACCCGTGCGAGGATGTTGAACTGTGCCATATCATTGGCAGACAAAAGTTGCTTGAGAACGGACGCAGGGGGACGCTTAAGCCAACTGGTCCGTGGTCATACGCATGAAGGACAGGAGTAGGGGGCAGCATACGTGTGGCACACGGGCAGATATCAACTACTTACTCTTTGTCGTACTCCACGCGTCGACCGACGACAACAAAGAGAGAGACATGCGTTTCCCCGCCACCCTGTCACAGAAACAGAAACGCGGTGCGTGTTTTGTTCTCGTCGCTTCCATGATGAAAAGGGCATTTGTCTCCTTGCCATTGACCACATAGCGATGCTATATGCCGCCGGCCATCATTTCAGATCGCACAATTCAATATCTAACTACATATCCGCCCTTCCGCCAGTCGTGCTTCCCGCCTGTCCCAACCCTCATCAAGATTTCGTCTAGAATGCAGCACTCCGAGGGCACAGCGTCCTCTTCCAATGAGGAGAGGGCGGGAATGAAGCGCAAAGTCCCGCGCGATTCTAGGACAAGGTCCCCCAGCCCCAAGCGCCCCTGTGGCTCATCTGCTGAGGTTGGAACCGGAGAACCTAATGGCGCTGATAGCAGCGGTGTCTGTAGTGAGGATCACCTGGGCCCAGAAACAGACCAGGAGGATTCTGAGTCTGATACAGCGCCCAAGTGGCCCATCCCGGACGAAACAATCCGGGCAAGGATATATGATGAATGGCGTCTACGGCTTCGCCGCCCAGATAGTATTTTCCGCGAGGTTTGGAACATGTTGCCTACCAGAGTATGGCTCTTGGCGCGCGAGAACTTTCCACCCTCGTATTTGTGGAAGGATCTCTCCAAAGAGAATCAAGCAGAAATCGAGGTTTGGGCATCTCATGCCCAGGAGTGGATGGAGTCAAGCGAAAGATTGAGGGCTCAGTGCTTTTTCGAGGCATGGATCTTCCGGCTTCTGTACGACCATCTTTTCTCGCCCGAATGCCAGGACAAGTGGTCGTGCGAAATGTGGAAGATATACGGCCAGCAGCAATACGCCTTGCGAGGTACGGCATCATGCATCCTCATTCCCTTGACCCCTGCACGGGTGAAATAGCTGATTAGTGACCAGGTTATGTCGACGGCCCCGACAGCGAAGACGGTATGAATAGCTTTTTCAATCTCGGCTTTCATAACTGGCGCTCCATGACAGCAGAGATGACCCTCCATGCCACGGGAAGAAGATGGCACACGGAGCCTTCCCGGCTCAAGGATATCCTGGTCGACCGCCTTGGGCCTCTCATCTCAGATCCTCGCCAGCCATTTCCCGAGAACCTAGATAAGAATCTGCATGGAATAGTCCACCTCGCCATTGAATTAGATATTCTGATGATCTACTCGACCCTTTGGCTCAAGCTGGAGATGAAGGTGCCTAATATGAGTGTGGTCAAGGATTTTGCCTACGATGATAAAGACATGGCCACACACGGTTGCTTCTATAACCTCAGCAAAGGAGCTAAATCTATAACCCAAACGGTGGACTTTATCTGTCAGCCATCGTTTGCCATTTTTGGCAGGACTTTTACCCGCGCGGAGTCTGACGAGCATTGGAAAGCAGTCCCGAGTTTTGGTAACCAGTTCGATCGGGAATTCCAAAGCCCATCCCTCGTTCAGCTCGCGATCAATGGCGGTGAAGACCAAGGATTTACGTCAGCGGCTACAACCCTCCAGGACACAGACGTCAAAAGTGTGGAGGATTAGAGCCCTCCGGTTACAACTGCGTGAGGGCCTCGGCCGCTATCCTGGTTGCACTGGCAGTGGTGATGCTGCTGCCGTGCTTGGGCAGTGTGTGTTGGCATATGACATTCACTATGCCCCTCCACACTCATTTTATCAGGCTACACTGCATTGGTTTTGTGCTTAGACATCTTCTATGTTGGCATCTGGCATTTGCCATGCCCTGCACACTCGTTTTGTCAGACTGCGTTCGCGATGTCGCTCCTTATTTACTATCGCTAAAGAAAAAAAATCCTTCTTCCTTCTTTTTAAATCACTTGGTCCTACATAAAGACCAAATTGCTCCCGTAACTGCATCATAATATCCAGTCGCCTTCGATATCGCTCCAGGCCCAGGCCTTCTTTCAGAGAGGAGGGGGGCCACTCTAGATGGAGAGCCCAACGCCCGGAGGCACGGGGATCCTGATACACCTTGGCCTGCTCGCATCCGTGGATCAGGCCATCCGGGTATCACAGAGCTCGTCCTTGCGGGCGTAGGCTCGGGCGCTATTCAGAAAACTGCTTGCCATGCATGGACGCTAGAAAACGAGGGGCGTCATCGCCACCAGTCACTCCAATAGGAGCCCTGCAGATTCTGACGACGGGCCAGGAGCACAGCAGGAGTGGCTTTGCCAGCTGCAAGAGTCCAGCCCTCCCGGTGGTACATGGCGGCGCATGATGGATCTCCTTTGGCCGGCGTGACACCGCCCACATCGATGAAGCAAGGCGCGGCTTGACGGTCGCGACTCATGCGAGGCAACGGCTCCTGCATGACGTTTCTGCGTAATGCCGCTTTGCAAGACAATATGCCCGGGTAGGAGTTCCGTTTTTGACAGTGGGATGGACCTTTGTTGGGCTATCCTCCAACGCGGGTGCCTAAACCCGTTGGTCCATTGACGCTCCTCGCTAGTATGCCAAAGGTCTCTCCAAAACTCCCAACACATGGACATGGGCACGAACAGGGCCGTTCATGAACACGAGTGGTGATACTGGAGATTGGAGACGCTTGAGGGTGAGACTGATGGCATGTTTCTCGATTTCCCAGGCAAAAAAATACCAATAGCCAGCTTAAATAAAATAAATATATAGATGATGCCTGTATCGTGTCGATATAGCTGACCGCTGCTGCCGTGATGATGAAAATGTTGATGCTGATGATGATGCTGATGCTGATAATGATTTTGATATTGATGATGATTTTGATGATGATAGTGATGTTGATGTGATGATTATGATAGTGATGATAGTGTTGGTGGTGATGTTGTTGGTGATGGTGATGGTGATGATGTGAGGTTGGCTGATCTGGGTGGAGTTCTACGTGGGGCAGTTCAAGTCCTCAAGGACTCAGCACGACCAACAAGCCAACCATCTGCCTGTTGGCTGATATCTGTCATCCTCGCAAACCGAGTCCAGGCCGTAAGTTCCAGTATCCAGTCACAGAGTTGCAGCTACTCGCCATCCCGAACCCTCGCTGCCAAAGTTCAACGTGGATTTGAGCCCGCTGCAGAAGCTGTTGTATGTCAGTGGCCATCCCGCGGCTGGTCGAGGTAGTCGTCTGGGAAAACAGGCACACTCAACAACAGGACACGCGCTTTAGTGAGGGATCCAGAAATGGAAAACATCAAGGAAAGACGGCGGAAAGCCAAGGCCTCCTCTACGCAGCCCGGTGGCAACCCAAGAGTTCCTCGAGGCACCAACTCCCAACTTCCATCACATCATGGCAGCGCAACGGCCTCTGCCAGGCCTGAGCACGGTGTGGTTTCTGCGACAAAGGATCTCTACCGGACGGAAAAGTCCCTCCAGCCGTGGCAGGAGTGGTCGGCCGAGGAGATCGCCGGCATCGTGTCCCAGTCAGCCTCCGACATTGACAAGTACGCTCTGGTGGTTCGCCGCGAGAAGCGAGACGGCGAGTACGGCGAGCCAGTCCTGGCGCTACACTCCATCGATGTGCAGAGCCCGTATCTAAAGGCCATCCTCCATCCCGTCTTCAAGGACTACAAGAGCGTCAACACGAACCTCAAAAACTTGCAGTTCACCGCGCCCTTCCTCGAGTTCTTCCACCAGTGGGCCGAGTTTGTCCAAGCGCGGCCGGCGCAGGACAACGACGAGGACAAGACACCACGGGAGCACTACGATATCTTGTTTGAGATCATTTACTCGGAGTTGTCGCCGCATTTCGATCGAGCGGCCGACTTGCTGAAGAACAATGTCATGACGTTCGACTACCTCTGGACACTCTTTGAGCCGGGGATCGAGGTTCTGTCGCGGCACGAGTCTGTGGACCGACTGTGGCTAGTGGATCGCGGTGAGTATAAAGAGGCTCGAGATCAGACTACGTACGAGATCTCGTGCCGATACATCGATACGGACGGGGATAAATTTGGTGACAGGACACGGACGTTGGAGATGCAGGGCTTTGAGGGCATCAAACCCATCGAGGAGCTCGATATTCTCCCCAGCCATGTCTATTCGGACATTGCCCATGTGCGCGCCATGCTTCAAGAGCGAGGGAGAAAGTTTGAGATGCTGAGGGGATGCCACTACAAGGCATATTCTGGGCCATACATGCTGCTCAGCCCGCCTTCCGGGGTGCCCGAGAGACAACATGTAAGTTGGAATCTCAAGCATCTTTTTGCATGAGCGTAAACTCTTACTAACTTAACATGTAGATGGAACGCGGAAGGGTCATGATTGATAGCAACCCTAATTCAGCGGTGCCTTCAAAGTCGGAGCTGCTACCGCTCTCAAGACCGTCCGAATTAGCGGAGGCAACACTCAGTATCGAAGATGGTACGGATCTTCGCATGCCTGAGCATCTCTTGAAGGTAAAAGAAAAGGCAAAACTAGCCAAGAAGCGATTCACTGGAAAGAACCACAAGAACAAGAGTAAGTAGCCCTTCTCCCCTTCTCATAAAAGTCCCTACACCCAGTAGCGACTCATTCAAGCAGAGATCACACACGACGCCGCGTAACTAACCATGTACAGGCTCTACAGTTCTCTCCCCCGACCAACATGCATTGTGCACGCCTCTTGTCAAGGGGTACTGCTTCAAGACCAAGAGCTGGGGTAGGCACCGATCATATTTATCTCCCTAGCAATCCTCTCGCTCATGTGACATTGACACTTCGCTAGCTCTGTTCCAAGTCGACAAGTTGATAGATATTGCCTGGAACGATGAAGCGTTCGGGAAACTCGTCCTCCCTCATGATTACAAGTCCATCATCTGGGCGTTTGTAGACGCGCAAATGTCCCAAACCGACGACGACGACTTTGACGACATCATTGAAGGAAAAGGCAAGATCATCCACCTCTTACAAGCTACGAAGCTTTGACTAACTTGCGACGCAGGAAAGGGTATAATTATGCTATTAAGCGGAGAGCCAGGCACAGGCAAAACACTCACGTCTGAATCAGGTACACATGCTCCCTTTCAATAGTCTGGCAGACACAATGCCAATGAACGAGCGCTGACCTCCCTAGTGGCCGAGGCGATGCACAAACCTCTATACAGCCTCAGCGCAGGCGAGCTAGGCCTCACAGCCGAGTCCGTCGAGCGCAACCTCAACCGCGTCCTCGAGCTGTCGCAGAGGTGGAGGGCGGTCCTTCTCATCGACGAGTGCGACGTCTTCCTCGAGAACCGCACCCAGTCGGACCTCCACCGCAACCAGCTCGTCTCCGTCTTCCTCCGCCTGCTCGAGTACTACCAAGGGGTCATGTTCCTCACGACGAACCGGCTCGACTCGTTCGACCCCGCGTTCGAGTCACGCATAGAACTAACCCTGCACTACCCTGCACTCGACGCGGCGAGCCGACGGCACATCTGGCGGACGTTCCTGCCTGCCGGGTCGGACAGGATCGACGTCGCCGAGGAGGAGTTGGATGCGCTTGCGGAACACGAGTTTAATGGGCGGCAGATTAAGAATGTGGTTAAGACGGCGCGGCTGCTGGCTCTACGGGACAAGACGGCGCTGACGAGTAAACATTTGGAGATTGTTATGAGGGTCAAGAAGGGAAAGCCAGGGGGCTTGGAGAATCATTCATTTCATTAATCAATAACATACATGAGCATTAGACTGTCAGGACAACCAAAGCACCCAATTGCCAAGTTGATACGAGATAAACGGATCATGGTAATTGGGTCACCCAACTCATGAGTTCAGCTGCCCCGCTTGAGTCATCGACGCCCTTGGTGACAAACATGATGAAGCCGGAATCGGTGAAGCAGTGAATGCTGTGGAACGTGAAGTTTTGGAATACACGCAGGGCGTATTGTAGAAGTATAAGATGTAGCCATGACTAGAACTGTGTCTCGTTTGACTGGTTTTTGCATCAGTGGCAAAAGAAACTGCTCCAGTGTGTGCTCTTGAAAGCAATTGACCCATCAACTCCACAAGAGAAGAGAGTCCAGTCCGATCCAGACAAACGTACCGAAAATCCGACCAGAACCTGAGATATTCGACATCTAGTTGGAGATACAAACCTCTCATCTATAATTCAAGATGACTTACAAGCTCCACATCGCCAACAAGCGCTACTCGTCGTGGTCGATGCGACCGTGGCTCGTCTTCAAGGCGCTCAACATTCCATTCGAAGAAGCCCTCTTCATGTTCAAGCCGGGCTACCGCCAGCCCGACTTCCTCGCCTTCTCGCCCTCCGGCAAGGTCCCGTGCCTCCACGACTCGGCCCACGACAAGTTCTACGTCTGGGACTCCCTGGCCATCGTCGAGTACATCGCCGAGAAGCACGCGGGAGTCTGGCCCAGCGACCCGACGGCCCGGGCGTTCGCTCGCTGCGCCGCCTCGGAGATGCACTCGTCCTTCGAGGCCCTCCGGGGCGAGTGCGGCATGAACGTAGGCCTGCGCATCGAGCTGACGGAGCACAGCGACGGGCTGAAACGCGATCTGGCGCGGCTCGAGACTCTCTTCACCGAGGGGCTCACCAGGTTCGGCGGCCCGTGGCTCGCTGGTGCTGAGTTCACGGCGGTGGATGCCTTCTACGCGCCCGTGGCTTGTAGGTTCAAGACCTATGGCATCACGTTCCCCGGGCCGGCCGGCGAATACGTCGAGCGGCTGTTTGAGCATCCATCGGTGCAGGAATGGGTGCAGGCAGGAATCTATGAGAAGGACAGGGAGCCGACGCATGAGCAGGATGCTGCCAGGCCTGGTCGCAGAATTCTAGCGGATCTGAGCGTTAAGCAATAGCGTGCAACAGGCCTCGATAGCGCCTCTCGTCGCTAAATTGCTTCACTGCTCAAACTCCATACCAGATGACCAAGTTAATAGACTGAACTTACGCACAACAGTATCATTCAAGATCAATATAGACGTACTTCTTTTTACCCCTCATGAAATGGAGCATTGCTGCCGTCAAAGTATAACCGCATGGAATTCTCGAGTAACTCTATTACCAGATGGTCACCCAAATAGTCATGTGAATTAGTGCCTGTAGTACCTACTTAACCGGGCGGATCCCGTTTAAGCGACCTGGAATATCATTCCGTGTGACCTTCATCAAGCCAACTCTCCCCTCTACCTGTCAAGACCAAATCTCTCTTTGTTGCGGAGCGAGACGATTCAAGATGGCCGACCAGGGCTTGGGGCAGTATTTCCAAGATATTACCACCTACCTGATTCTCCTCATCATCATCGCTACAAGCGGCTCGCTGCAGTTTGGCTACCACTTGGTGCGTCCTCTCCTAGAAGCATCACGCTTCAATCCGCTGCCATCCCAACACTCCCAGACCAAGAAGTTGCTGCAAAAATCTAACCAATTCCCTTGCTCTTTCTAGGCCGAGCTGAATGCCCCCCAAGATGTCATTACATGCCACGAAACGTCGACCCCGAATGTGGTGTCTCGAGTCATAGCGACCTTGCGAGGGCAGCCGACAACCCGCTCAACGAGCCTCCCCGATTGTATCCCGATGAACGATGCCGCCTTCGCGACTATCACGGCCATATTCACCCTCGGCGCCCTCCTGGGTGCCCTCTACGCCGGGCCCTTCTCCTCCCGCCGCGGTCGACTCCCCGCCATGCGCATTACCGCCATGCTCTATACAGTTGGCTCATTGTTCGAGACGCTGTCCGGGAGCGTTCTGTTCATGTGCATCGGCCGATTCCTCTCTGGCATTGCTGCTGGTGCTTCGACCGTCATCGTTCCATTATACATCAGCGAGGTGGCCCCGCCAAAGGAACGTGGTTTGTTTGGCGCCATGACCCAGGTGTCTATCAACGTTGGCATTCTCATCACCCAGACGCTCGGTTACTTCTTGAGCTACGGTAATAGGTGGAGGTTGATTCTGGCCACTGGTATCTGCATCGGTGCAATCCAGGCCCTGGGATCTGTGTTCCTGACGGAGAGTCCTTCGTGGTTGGCTGCGAATGGGAAAGTCACAGAGGCTGGGCGAACGCTGCAGAGGATCCGAGGCAAAGGCGTCAACATTCAGGAGGAGGTGGCGGGCTGGGGCCAGGAAGGAGAGGAAGACGGTGCCAACGAAGAGGCCAGGCTTCTCGCTCAAGAGGATGCTCCTGCAGAGCCATCCACATCCAGAGTGGTGATAGCTTCGACCGTCCACCATGGTTTCGCCGATGTTCTTCGAGACCCCAACACCCGCCCGGCCATTATTGCCGTCGTTGGTGTCATGTTCACCCAGCAGCTCTGCGGTATCAATTCGATCATCATGTACTCTGTCTCGCTTCTTGCCGACCTTCTCCCCATCTCCTCGGCCCTCCTGACCATCCTGATTTCGGTGGTCAACCTCCTGACCACAGTTGCTTGCTCGCCCCTGCCTGATAGACTGGGACGCAAGACGTGTCTGCTCATCTCCATTATTGGCCAGGGCTCTAGCTCTCTCGCTCTCGCTCTGTCCATCGTCTTCGGCGCCAAGGTCCTCTCTGCCTTCGCCGTCTTATTCTTTGTCGGGTTCTTCGCGGTTGGTCTCGGGCCCGTACCTTTCATCCTTGCCTCCGAGCTTGTCGGACAGGAAGCTGTGGGCGCCACACAGAGCTGGGCTTTGGGAGCCAACTACGTCGCCACGTTCATCGTCGCCCAGTTCTTCCCCATCCTCAACACAGCGCTCAACAACGCCCTCGGTGGACAGGGATGGGTCTACTTCGTCTTCGCCGCCTTGGCTGCCGGCTGCAGCCTCTTCGTGCTTTCGCGGGTTCCAGAGACAAAGGGCAAGAGGGATGCGGATGAGGTATGGGGCCGAGAGCGTCGCTTGGAGTGATTCATGGCATGTCACTTTTCTTTTCTCCATAGATCAAGATATTGTTTTCCTGCTACATTACATTTACACAAATACCTGTTTGCTGCGAACCAGCTGCTCCAGTTGTAGGACACCCGCCCTGACACCGTCAACCACGTAGAGGCCCCTCGCGAAGTCCTCCCCAATAAGCTCCGCGGCCGTCGAGCGGATCACGCGCTCCAGGCCCGCCATCCCCCCGCATCCCATGACCACGCAGCGCACGTCGCCTGCCTTGAGCAGCTTGCCCGTGGCCTCCCTGAGCTTGGCGTCGACCTCTGCCTGCGGGAGGTGGTGGAAGTCGCCGGCGGTGAGGCCGGTGGAAAACACGCCCGCGAAGTTGCTGCTGCTGCTGCTGCCGCCCTGGCCCAAGTCCCCCCGCGGCGCCTGGCCGAAGAAGGACCTCACGCCGGCACTGAGGTGGTCCTCCCAGAACTTTCCCGTGGTGACGATGCCCCATTTCTGGTCCGTGTAGGGCTGGAGGAGGAGCTGCGCGGTGAGGATGCTCGCCTCGAAGATTCCCGTAACGGAGGCGGAGGTGAGGGTGGGCAGGCGGGGGACCAAGGTGTGGACGCTGAAGCAGGCGACGAGGACGGCGTCGTACTGGTCTAGTGAGAGAGATTTGTCGGCGATGTCTTGGCAGACGGCCTCTTCGCTGGCTTTGATGTCTGTGTCGTCGTTGATGCTTGCCGGGGCTGTGCTTGGAGCTGTATACGTGCTGATCTTTATGGACTGTTTGAGGCTGCTGGTTAGTAGTTTAGATGGAGAGGAAGTGTGGTGCTGGGTCAGCATACATCTCCCAGCTTGAGTGCGTCCGTCGCCGCAAGCATTCCCCGCGTCATGTCCTGCGACGAATTCGGATTCAATATAAGGATATGCATGGTTGCTTTTAGATTGTCCTTAATGTGATGGTGATGGAAGAGAGAGATGAGTCATGGACGAGAAAGATCATCTTAGAGTTCAATTTGATGTGGGTGCTATCTCTCCATCTTTCTATATATAACGCAAACCAATGGCAATTTTGTGAAACGTCTAGATAAGACCCGATATCTAGGATAATATCATCGACAAATACCAACTCGTAGCTGTATATCTCGAAAGATAACATGTCGGCAGTTGGAGACGGCGCGGGGTATCACGTGATTGGCCCCGGTGAGAGCTCCTGGCTCTGACGACAGGCGTAAGAACGAACCCCACCATGGACTGCTCCATCCACGCAACCATACCGCAACGTTGGTAGGCACCCAGCCACGCTGTACTGACCCGTCTCCTCCTCAACACCAGCAGCGAGGATCACTCCCGCAGCCACATCTCAAGCCCGCCCACCTCCCGTCCGTTTTCTTCGCCAATATGGCCAATCCTCCCCCCATTGGTATGTCGGAGCAATTCCGAACGCTTCCCACAGAATGGGAGCTACCCCGGAGCGAAAGCTGAGCTAATACGAGCCATCGTCACTATCAAACAGTCCTCGACGGCGGTACCGGCTTCCTCAAGGTCGGCTACGCAGCCCAGAACTTCCCCGAGCACCAGTTCCCCTCCATCGTCGGCCGGCCGATCCTGCGTTCAGAAGAGAAGTCGAACAGCGATGTTGTCATCAAGGACATCATGTGCGGTGACGAGGCCGCCGCCGCCCGCAACATGCTCCAGATCAGCTACCCCATGGAGAACGGCATTGTCAAGAAGTGGGACGACATCCAGCACCTCTGGGACTACACGTTTTACGAGAAATTGAAAGTCAACACCGAAGGCCAGAAGATCTTGCTGACCGAGCCCCCCATGAACCCATTGAAGAACCGCGAGCAGATGTGCGAGGTTATGTTCGATCGATACGGATTCGGGGGCGTCTACGTCGCTATCCAGGCCGTTTTGGCACTTTACGCACAAGGTGGGTTTCGTTCCAGAGCTATGTCCTTCAGGGATGGGGAAATGGGATAGGGGAGATGCGAGGTTGACCAAGCGGAGCTATGCTGACTGAAGTCTGACCCCCAGGTCTGAGCTCTGGTGTCGTTGTCGACTCCGGTGATGGTGTCACCCATATTGTCCCCGTGTACGAATCCGTAGTGCTCAACCATCTCACAAAGCGTCTCGACGTTGCCGGCCGTGACGTCACTCGCAACCTCATCAAGCTCCTGCTACGCCGCGGATATGCCCTGAACCGAACGGCAGACTTCGAGACGGTGCGCCAGATCAAGGAGAAGCTATGCTACGTGTCATACGACCTTGAGCTCGACAAGCGTCTCAGCGAGGACACGACGGTGCTCGTCGAGGACTACACCCTGCCGGACGGTCGAGTCATCCGCGTGGGCAGCGAGCGCTTCGAGGCGCCCGAGTGTCTTTTCCAGCCTCACCTCGTCGACAGCGATTCACCCGGCCTGGGCGAGTTCCTCTTCAACACGATCCAGTCGGCTGATGTGGACATTCGCTCGTCCCTCTTCAAGGCCATTGTGCTTTCCGGTGGTAGCAGCATGTACCCCGGGCTGCCATCCCGTCTGGAGAAGGAGCTGAAGCAGCTGTGGCTCACGCGGGCGCTGCAGGGCAATCCCGAGCGTCTCAGCAAGTTCAAGGTCCGGATTGAAGATCCCCCCAGGAGAAGGCACATGGTGTTCCTGGGTGGTGCGGTGCTGGCCAACATCATGGCAGACAAGGAGAACATGTGGGTGACCAAGGCTGAGTGGGAGGAGCAAGGCCCGAGAGTCCTGGAGAAGCTTGGACCTAGGTAAAGCGGTTAGACTTGTGACATTACACAGCACAATTACGAGCGAGAGTGTGGGAGGGGGCGTGAGAGCAGCAGAAGGGTTAGAAAGGGGGTCGGGGAGGGCTGCAGTGATGATGACTACATTATCTATTTTCTAGCTAAGAACAAGACAAAAGCAAAGCCTGCAGATCGGTCTCATTTCACTG